GATGGCTCCTGATTAAAGCGCTGCTCTTTAGGACCTACGGTCATTTCTAAGACGCCAATCGACCGTGTCCCCTTATTGTTGTTGGCGTTCGAAACGAAATGATGCTCTGGTATAGAACACGACGTACTTCGCTTGATGACCCTATGACCAGGAAATGCATCAAGTTCCAGTTGAGAAGACTGCCATCCAGTGGGTGAGAAAAGGGCAAAACGGCAGCCAACACAGCCAAGTGCAGCGCAAAGGGATTACAAGAACAGCTAACAACGTATCCGTCCGTTGATCGCGTCACGATTTGAATGCCATGCTAATAAATTCAAAAGTGAACTATGCAGACCCTGACTGGGCTCATGCAGAGAGTGATTTCTTCTTGCTTCAACCACCGCCGTTGCCGAACGGCCGCAGCAGGCCTGGCGGCATGGCATCGAACCTGGGTCCCCGAGGCTAGGAGCAGGGGGCCACGCCACGGGGTGAAGAGGTACGCATCCTGCCCTCGGACAAGGCGGGCAGACGGGAGTTTTTGCCCACCCTGCAAGGGAAGGAAAATCCTCAAAGTCATGGAAGCCGATGCATCCAACACACATAATCATTAGCAGCGATGGCGTCCGTCCATGAGCGAGAGCGTATGCCGTAGTGATCAAGGCTAGGTCCCACTTATGAAATGATCGGGTGTGGATCAGATGCGACCGCACTGCGGGGGACCCACGCCATCACAGAGAGGAGGCCGCTACCCAGCGTAGCAGCGGCTTCATCACACATACACGTGGGTGGCCTCCAGCCGTTGCACAATAGGAGGCAGCAGGCCGCCGCTATGGTTAATTCTCATGCAGCTAATGCTCATCACCAACTGGCTAGATAACTCACCTTGTAAGGTGCGAATTCATCACTTTACACGCCCGATGGACTGAAGTGAAATTTTTTTTGTGAACCTGATATTTTCGAATGAAAGGTGAGCTACTTTGTATTCTGACGTAAGCTATGCGATCCAATTCGAATGCCATTTAGCTGAAAAACTGGCGAATTTGGACCTGATTCCGGCAACAACAGCCTTATTTCTGGAATCGGACCACATTCCGTTGGTGTCAAGCACAGGCCTGGCCACATCAGGTCGCATCAAAGCACAGATGAATGGATCCAGATGCCTTTTGTTTGCCCAGAAATTTCCCGCTATGGCGGAGCCAGCCGGTGGTAGATCTTGGAGAAAACGTCACTGTTAAAACCGAAGCAGAACCGTTCACGTACGAATGGGACCGTCTTGCTGCTTTCAGCTTGCTTAAAGTATTTCAGGTTTTGCGGATTAGGTAAACAGTGGTCGCGTTATCGACGATTTTGTCCGTTTTTGAACGCGACCGACGGCTGTGATAGTAATTAACTAGCATTAGAAACAGGAATCTGAGCCCTGCGGTAGCCGATCGACGGCAAACTACCTTCAATCCCTGCGCATAAATAGACCTAGACCAATAGACCAAACCGGCCGCAAACCAATCTGCAGCCAGCGCCCAGCGTGAGCCTGGGGAGCCTGCCTGCAGCTAAACTTCCCTGGTCCTCGACGTTCCCGGCCGGCCGCCGGCTTACGTCACCCCAGCCGGCCGGCCCGCTCCGGCGTACACGTGTGGGCTTCGCGTCCGCGACAGAGGCCCGCCAGCTGATGACAGAGTGTCGCCATTCGATACGATACCTTGCACTGCTGCCAAGGTACCTGTGTCAGCGACCGTTACATGCGATGCGCCGGCAATGAGCACCAATATTACAGGCCATAAAAGAATCATTTGCGTTTCCTGACCGGGGCAGTGGTCCGCGAAATCGACGGAGGAAACTTATGGCCCGAAGAAAAGGCGGCGTAAATGCCGTCATGTGCGTCTGATCGTTTGAACGAACATGCCTTTATGTCTTCAGTCCCATAAGCGCGTGCACAAATGCTCGTCACTCACCCGCATGCCATCCGCAAAATAAGGGTATTTCATGACAACAACTTTTAATACATGCGTGCAGTAAGGCTTAACCTAATTAAATGTTTACAATGGACACTTTTGTGTGATAGAATCACTTCGGAGTGATATTTATTCATTCCCACATCTGCCTCCGAAGCTCGCCCCGGTGTCTCCCACATCTGCCTCCGAAGCTTGCCCCGGTGCCTTCCACATCTGCCTCCGAATCCCGCCCCGGTGTTTCCCACATCTGCCTCCGAAGCTTCCCCGGTGTCTCCCACATCTGCCCACAAAGCCCGCCCCAGGTGTTTCCCACATCTGCCCACAAAGCCCGCTCCGGCGTTTCCCACATCTGCCCATAAAGCCCGTCCCCGGTGTCTCCCACATCTGCCCACAAAGCCCGCCCCGGTGTTTCCCACATCTGCCCACAAAGCCCGCCCCTGTGTTTCCCACATCTGCCTCCGAAGCCCCCCCCCCCGTCTCCCACATCTGCCTCCAAAGCTCGCCCCGGTGCCTCCCACATCTGCCCACAAAGCCCGCCCCGCTGTTTCCCACATCTGCCCACAAAGCCCGCCCGGTGTTTCCCACATCTGCCTCAGAAGCTCGCCCCCGGTGTCTCCCACATCTGTCTCTGAAGCTGGCCCCGGTGTCTCCCACACCTGCCTCCAAAGCCCGCGCCGGTATTTCCCACATTTGCCTCTGAAGCTCGCCCCCGGTGTCTCCCACATCTGCCTCTGAAGCTGGCCCCGGTGCCGGCCGCGGACGCTTCGGTCGTCGTTCAGCCCCTCTGAGCCGCGGCGCGTAGCGGCGCGGGGCCTGAAAGGCCAGCGCGCATGTTCTAAGCAGCTTTGATGCAATGCTAACTAGATAGAAAATTTGGCGTTAACGGGAATGTTTTGATGTTAATGAACCCATAATCATCGCAGATCACGCCAGGAAACTGGACCTGAACACCTTTTTTGTTACGCATGACAATGATTCCTCTTCTGGATTGGCCTCGTTTCAACTCCCTTCGCCTCAGGTCAGTCAGAATTATACCGTGACGCGAGGATGTAGTTCCACGAAATGAATTGGGAGGTGGAGGGGCGAGGTGGATGAACAGTGAACGATGAAGAAACCTTACCCTAAATACCTGCAAAATAGTTTCTCCCCGGATTTGGCACACTTCCTTCGTACAGTGTGCTGCATGAAAAATGGACCATGGGGTGATTCCGAGCACGATGCTCGGTGTAGGCTGAAAAAAACGACTGAAATATGAACAATAATAGGTGTAAATGCCTGCGTTCAAAAGCATCTTCAAATCTTTGTCTAATGCGTTTGATTGGCTGATGTAAATTCGCATTAGGAGGCACCAAGCGAAATTTGGTGACCTGATTTATCTTCAGATTCTGAATCAGATGGTGTCACCCAAGCCGCCTGTAATCGGAGAGGGGGGGGGGGGAGGGCCGCTGACCGCAGCCTGGCCGGGGTACGACGGGGAGGGCCGCTGACCGCAGCCTGGCTGAGGTACGACGGGGAGGGCCGCTGACCGCAGCCTGGCTGGGGTACGACGGGGAGGGCCGCTGACCGCAGCCTGGCTGGGGTACGACGGGGAGGGCCGCTGACCGCAGCCTGGCTGGGGTACGACGCGCACCTTGCACCCGCGAGCGCCACACGTTACAGGCGTGCTGACGTGCCCACTTCAGGCGGCCGCACACAGATCAGCCCACCGCGACCGACACGATCGTTAGTAACCCTGCGGTAGCGCATGTCTGGAACATTGAGGACGTGCCGTCTGCTCCCTGCTGCCACCTAGCGGCATAGCGAGAATCCAAGCTTCCTTCGACGATCGGCACGCCACCACATACGACACAGGTGGCCCGTCCGGACGCCGACGTCATCCCGGATCATCTCCCTAGGGAGCAGGGGGTACAGACAACCCAATCTAAGCCCTCGGAACAAATTAGGGGGTCACGCACAGCGCTGTTGACGATCTTAAGAGATCAGGTCAACGCCGGAACAGCCTGGGTGTCTTTTTCATAGACGCCGCCACAGCATGCGAAGTCAGTTATGGCTGTGCGTTTCGACTCGTCGCATGTGCAGCCAACTGCCAAGGGTGCTGCTCTCCAGCTGGCGTCGAGAAGCTTCAGACCGCGTGATCCATCTAGCGACGGGAATGAATGGGCGTCGAACCCGAGCATTGTCACTGGTGAGGAGAATCCCTCAGCTTCAGACTGAGGGGCAGGTTGGTCAGTGTGCTGTCGGGCGCTGCGGCTGCGCGCTCGTATGGCGCCCGTCACTCAGATCGATGGGGATAAGGCAATATGAGTGTCGGCCTGACAATAAGACTGCCCATTCTCCAACTGGCGCCACCTCCACCTACTGCAATCCTCATGTGCTCTGTAACAGCTGGTCTACAGCGCGCTTGAAAACACGCCGGCAGCGACGGTGGCGCGTGTGCCCTCCTCTCCCCATGAGCCGGTGCGAAGTGGTCAGGCGGGGCGATCAACGCCACAGCAGACAGCGGCCCATCCCAGCCGTGAACGGTCCCGATGCCTACCAAGGAGCCCGTTGGGACGACGAGAGCAGCACGAGCGGGACAGTGAGGCGCGTGCTGTCCTAAACAGCGCACGGTGTCAGCATACCGACGATATACGGCATCGCTGGATTCACCCGTTTCCGATCGCACGGGTCAACTTGTGACTCGAATGACGTGTTGGGTTCTGCAATTCCTGATGATGGTCCTGGCCGAGGCGTTACAAGCATGTCAACAATATGAAATAAAGCTTCAATACTGAAAATATAGCAATCAAACTTCTGATAAATACTGCTTAGCCACACTTATCGTCGTATGCACATCGCAGGTTATTTACTATAACTAATTGTCCGGAGAAAAAGAACTCGTAACAGAGACCGAAAATGTTTCCGCACCCCAACATCCGAAAGGAAGCTGACGCGCGTCTACATTAAAATAATATATAATTTGATCATGCAAGATCGTAGGAAGGTTAAACATCCAGCACAAAATTTGTGTTTACAATACAAACTTATGACAATATGCAGTATTTTCAAGGTCTTATCGAAAGCACAAAAAAACACGACAACGGACTCATATATTCGGGGTAAACATATGCTTTAGTCAAAATCTTAACCCCCCAATCACATTCCACATCCAGACACCAAACAGCCGTGTAATTCGAACCGGCGAAATACCGCACAGGCGCCGGAGTGTTACACCGGGCACCACGGCCACCAATCCAAAGCAGTGTCTGCCGCACAGGCCGGGTGAGCTGGCCGGCCATCACCACCACCGTTCATAGCGCACGCTCTCTGGGGGCACGCCGAGTTCCGTCAGCCACCGCTCCACGTCCGCTATCATGGCGCTGGGACCGCAGAGGTAGCAGAGCGGGTCGGCTCCCAGGCGCCGCACGACCTCCCGCAGGTCAGCGCTCGTCAGCCGGCCGCCTGCAACGGACACCGGCCGGACCGTCACGACACGAGGGGAGCGAGCCCAGGGACCGTCACGGCCTGAGCCGACTGGACTCCGGACCGTCACGGCCCGAGCCGACCGAACCCCGGGACCGTCACGGCCCGAACGACCGAACCCCGGGACCGTCACGGCCCGAGCCGACTGGACCCCGGGACCGTCACGACACGAGTCGACCGAACCCCGGAACCGTCACGGCCCGAGCGACCGAACCCCGGAACCGTCACGGCCCGAGCCGACTGGACCCCGGACCGTGACGGCCCGAGCGACCAAACCCCGCTGGCGCCACCCGGCCGTGCCGACCGAACCCCGCCGGCGCCGCCGGGCCGTGCCGCAGAAGACCGCGACTCGCCATTCCGGCAGTAATCCTTTTGCAGCGTTGTTCCAACATTTCAAACAGTTATAGCTCCCGCGGCCACCATGCGTGGCGCACATTACGGTGCGTCAGCAGGGGATGGAGGCGCCAAATCCGACAGGCGGTGCGTCAGATGGTTTGAGTCGTGATCATAGGCTGTGGCACAAAGTTTTGTGGCCGTCTTATTTCGCAGCAAGCGCAAGACAAAGTGATTTCAAGGTTAGCCACGGCATGAGTCAACTCCCACACGATCTGTCGCCTTTCCCACGCAATCAGAAAAAACTCTGCCATCGGAAGAGTACGATTTCTTTGCAGGACGCAGCGCGAATGCTGTGACCCACCATTCAGGGATCATACCAGCCCAGGGCGGACCACTTGGATAGCGATGTCGGTATCCACGCGACAGGCTGGGTTTAACGATGACTGATCATGACGTCACAAGAGCCAACTCAGGTCACTAAATAAGATTAAAAACACGGCGAAGTACGCCTTGTGACGTGGGGAAGCAGAGCAGACTAACCCACAGCAAAACGCTTTGTAGACTCGTCTCCAGGCAGGGTAAATCCGTACAGGACATACCTCCGTTCCCAGTCCTGAACATTACTTATTTAAATGAATGCAACGATATCTAAGTCTAGCCCAGCCGTAAAACAAACGAATCGTAGCCTTTGTGGCCTACTCACGGTGATAGCGTCCGTCTTGCGCGGGAAGACTTTTCCCAGTGACAAACAGGTGAGCTGTCACCAAACCTTCCTCCTCCATTGCACCAATGCACTCCTGTTGACAGCCGCTTGTCACAAGCATATCACCAGCAGCTCCGAAAGTGGACACCATACTCCCATGTGCATCTAATCCCTAGACCGATCAGTTGTTGATAGCGCACGACATCTTGAGACAATGCCGCCGCTCCTCAGATGATTGCCAACGACAATACCACGGCGGATGAGCAGGAGCTTTCGCTGGGAAAAGGATATCCCCACCGAGGCTGGGTGTAGTTTCTTAACGTCCCCCGTCCCACAACACAATCCCACACTTCCCTCCAAGTCACAACTTTGAAACCGTCCCACAACACATTCCCACACTTCCCTCCAAGTCACAACTTTGAAACCGTCCCACAACACATTCGCACACTTCCCTCCAAGTCACAACTTTGAAACCGTCCCACAACACGATCGCACACTTCCCTCCAAGTCACACCTTTGAAACCGTCCCACAACACAATCGCACACTTCCCTCCAAGTCACAACTTTGGAACAGCTCTCACAGCCCACAGCCCGAGCTGATGTTCCCGCCTACCTTAAAGAGCAGCTCGGCGGGGCTTCTAGCGCTGTATACGAGCGCGACCGGCATGGGCGTGTAGCCGTGGCCGGTGTGGCGCGCCTCGTCGCGCAGGTCGCGGCAGTGGCGCAGAATCGAGATCAGCGGGTTGACGCCGACGCCGCCGGCCACGAGCAGCAGCGGCCGCACCGGCGCGCCTGCCGACGGCTGGAAGAAGAAGCTGCCGCCCGCCTTCAGCGTCACGCGGCTGCCGACACGACACTGTCGACCGCAGAGGAGGACGATAAGATAACTGCTCGCCGACTGGTGCCGTCGGAGGCATCAGCAGCGCGACCGGAACTGTTGGCATCCGCTAGGATTGCGGAAGGAGAGCTCTCGTCAGCGCTCTGTCAGCGTCACGTAATATCAAGCACGGCATCAGACTTGCAGGCTGGGATCAGTTTACCATGGAAGGACACAGAGACGGACATGGGACAGCATCAGAATAGACCAACATGCGCTGCATATGCATTCTGACACGAGTATGGTCTGCCCTCGTCACAATCGTCACAACGTTGTACCCAGTGAGCACAACAATACAGAAATATGTCATCACTTTTCATGACGTAGCAGACACTTCATGCATTTGAAGAAGACCATACTGATATAAGTGTCAAGCACTGAGAGGAGTCGCCAGCAAGACATGAGCGATGTGGTGGGATACTATTCGGGCTCTGCCCCACCAACGTACCACGTGCTGACACATTCTCGACACCTCGGGATAGGTGCTGCGTACAGCAGCGCAGTGAACAAACTGCCTGAATGATGGCTTGCTGCAAACGCACCCAAAGCCCTTCATCTCCCCCCCCCCCCTCGGCGACATTCATGCCATTTTCTGAAACTCAGGAACACTCATGAACACTTGGAAATATTCCTGCCAGAGTGCTGCGTGTTAGCCCTGACCTGGCCGTGGACCCAGACAGCAGGGGGCCAGCTGGACCGCTTGACAGCCAGCTCCAGCGTACCATCACGCCGCAGCTGGCCTGGGCTTGAGCACATGCTGTACCCGCCCACCAGGTCTGTGCCAGGGATGGCGAAGTCCACCCTGTGCAGACAGGTGAGACATTACATCAGCATTGTGGGCCCTGGCAATGTGCTGCATGTGGAAAGTGTGGGCCAGGCACCAACATAAAAATGTGTACATGATAACATTTTGTTGAGATGCATCAACATTTGTAATCCCAGGTTGACAAAGTTGACAGTGGCACACAAACTCAAAATAACTAAAAATACTAAAACCATGCTTGCAAAGCTGCGCCACAACATACATATCAGTTCAAGCCCCATTGGTTTAGGAGAAAGATGATAACTTGTTACAAATTGGTACTGGGGACCAATTCCAGGATTGTGCATTGCTAGCTTGCCAGTTGGCTTGCACTGCAATTTGACAGCTGGTATGACAAGTCAGCTGACACCTGACAGGCTCGGCTGAACAATGACAGATTCATTGAAGCACTAGATCATACATTGATATATTGCTGTGGTTTTCTATAGTTGTAAACACAGGATGAAGAATTAGCTGACAAGTCAAAGTGCAGTAACTTAGTGATGGGCTAGGGGATGTAGCAACAAAAGTTGCTTAACATGTACCCTGAATGTGAAATTTATGTGCAAGCCATTCAGAAAGTATTATACTCACTGATAGGAATGCCTACAATACAATCTTTTACTTCCATTACTTCAACCATCAATGAATAACAATATTTACCATAGCTGTGACTTCCAGCAACTGAAACAATGTGCATGCAGTTTGTTAGACTAACATAACAGCTGTGCACTAATTATTTAAATTAATAGCAATTAATTTCATAATCTAGGTTCACACACTAAAGTGTAAGAAAAACACCCACACACCCACAGAAGTTTCAAATTGCAAATCTGTTAACTTGCCACTGGCCTGCATAAAAGCCAAAAGTTTTATCTTCAACCTTCATTATGAGGCTGCAGACTGTTGGTGAAATAGTTATCATATCAGCAACCACTGCTGATGTTGTAACTTCATGACGAAACTGTCCAGCGGTGACATTCAGATGGTCTTTCTTGGCTGACATCCCTCTGAAATAAACAATACTTCCTTACCATCACTTGCCATTAATGCACTTCATACACCGTCCATAACACCATACCTCGACATGCGTCCGGACCGCCAACTGGATGCCCTTTGCTCAAGTGAGGGTCAATTTGACCCCACTGAGATCTCCGGAACTAAGAGAGCTAAAGACACCAAAATTGCAGGGTGTGTTAGCCTATACATGAACTCACTAAGATCACAGTTTGAGGTTTCTAGGTCATGACCTTCAGGAAAAATAAGGTCAAACAAGGTCAATCTCCAGGTTGCTCTCCAAAGTGCCCCCAGAACCTTTATACTTGCTCCAAGCAAAAGCTCACATGATCAGTTAAGGTCCATGACCTTGCTTGACCTTTTTAAGGTCATGGTGACCAAAATCACACAAGACTGTCCTGTGTTTTGCATCTGAATACAGTAACAAAGATTATGCTACGTGGTATATTCCTAAAACCGAAATGTTGACCTGGGCCAGTTTAGGTCAATGACCTATTCTGACCTTCAAGAAGTGTATGGTAGATGCATAATGTGCTTCCTGTTATCAATAAATTCAAAATGAGTGCCAGAAACTAGCCCATAAAGCAAGCCTGAGTACTAAAACAGATTGGTTTTGATCTTGGTCTGACCTTCAAAACTGACTTTACATTCATTGAACTTGTTCATTCAATTGCTGTGTTGCCTACTAAAGTATCTCAGAAATGTAAGGTTTTGTCTAACACTCTGTTGTTGCATCAGATTGAATGATTCCCCAGAAACTGACTTCATGGAATCAGAATACATGGTCTGAGCTTGACCTGCTGATCTGCAAGGTCAGCAACCTTACAAGGGACATTTGAAATTTTATACCAAATGATCTGCCATTCAACTGTCTAGAACTATGCAAAATTTGGAGCAGCCATGCCACATTGTTTGTAAATCATTCTAGAAAAACCTTTGGGGTCAATTTGACCCCCCACCCGAGCACATGTTAAAGCAGAAATCATATCTTAAAAAGAACTGAAATCATGACATGATAGAACAGATATACATACACCTTAACAAAGTCTGCACAAGCAGCCAGTCAAAAGCTGAATACATTTCTTGGGATCAGTGTACGCAGACTAAGAAGATTGAGCTATACTATGAAGCTGAACAGACTAAGATATCAATAAAACGTTGCATCGTAACAATTTGACAATAACGCCAATATTGATTCCTACTACGACATTATAAAACATAAACTCAATGTCACTCTGTGGCATACCTTGAGGTGGTGAAATTCCACACACGAAGAAATTGCCTTGCAGCACGAGGTAGCATTCTAGACCCAGCACCACAAGTCAATCTCAAGCAACTTGAGGACGGAAGTAAAGGCAAGAGTTGTACGATTCGCCTTGAATTATTTTGTAACAAGAGCGGCACAGACGTCTCGTTTCTAGAAACCAATCTTGGCTAAAACAACAAAATTTCACGTTTTTAGGCTTTTTCCTAAAACGTTCTAGCTACCAGAGACCCTAGCTGCTTATTGCGAGACCTACGTTGAGCCGGATCGTACGGTATGTTTTTCCTAGTATTCCAAAGGAATAATGCCCAGGGATATAGCTTCCTTTCCGCTTGGAAGGAGGGGGGTTCAGCCGCCAGCTTGGGCCCCAGCCCCTTCCCCACATTCGGGAGGAAAGCAAGTCAAATCAGGGGAGAAATCTATTTTTTGCTGACGCATCTAAGGGCTTGGTTTGGTCATTTTCCAATATTCAGCCTCCAATTCATTGCGTGAAATCATGCTCCTGATAATGCAGTTATTTGGCGCTTAAATTGCGAATTCATTTGTACTTTTGACATTTTTATAGTAAGCTTGATGGTGGCTGTCGGCCATTTCTTTCTGGTTACTACAGCCCTGGCAGGAGCCCTCCTCGAGCGCCAGCACAACCCCAAATAAGGGGCTTTTTGCTGGTTGTGGACCGTTAGTCAAGGCCTCTTGTGATGACCGCAGCATTGCCCTACCGCCCCATCTCTCTTTTTATCCCATGTCTGTGGATGCTTTCCATATCCCATGGAATAAGGAATGTGTCCGCGGTCAGCCTATGGGACATTTCGAGGCAATGCATAGCCGAACAATGTTGCTGGCTGAAAGGGCTCTAATCCCGACTGTACAAAGAATATGGTGGCGTTGAAAACGAAACAGTCGTAATATTTTCAGCTTTTGGCAATGTAAAAGATCACTCACACGTAGCTATGTGGTTCGGTTACCATGTGGTTCGGACAAGACAGCGTCGGTTAAGTTAGCACTGCTTTGACTAGAGCATGAGCATGTCCCGCCGGTGCCGCACTTGTTGCGCACGTACCCATGACGTACGTCCCGTCCCATCCCTGCAGACGCCACGCGCGTGACGAGCTGCCCTCGTCGGTGTGCGGCTTCAGTGTGCACTGGGTACGAAGATAACCTGCAACCGCTGACCGCTAACCTGCAGTTAGCAGCCCTGTTAGCCCGGTTAGTAGCCCTGTTACGTCCTCTGGCGCAGTGCGTGGCGGCTTGGTCACTAGCTGTTTCGACTGATCGATTAAGTTGGTGTACGCAATGACGTCGAAGCCACTGTGCGACGGCTGGCTCTGCCGCACCTCGTCGCACTCCTGCTCTTGGTACCGAGATTGTCTTAGTCACGACCTCCTGACGAATCTCCTCGACAGGAGCAGCGAGGATTGCCAGAGCAGTGACTTCCGTATGAGCTCATCAGCCACTGCGATGGATAGCTCGTCGGACTATGCGCTGCAACGGCGGAACCAGAGCTCTGACTAGCTGGACGCTGCGGGATAAATTTTGGAACCTTTCTTACCATGCGGATGACACGTAATCCCCAATCAAACATGCACGCTGCGACTCCCAATAAATTTCACAAGTGACATCAAACTGGGTATTCTGGTGTAGGCGTTAGCCGCACCGGCCTGTTCGGGGTCGTAGATTTAATGGCGTGGTTAACCATGACATCTTATCTCTTACGAGTTGTTGCGAGACGCACCAGTAACGACCAGAATGGCGTTACTTGAGATTAGGACGAACGCCGCTTCACATTCACTCGTAAGCATTGGCGTGGTGGGGAAATCTCGATTGTTCGTGTTGCTGTAAACGGCAGCTTACCCGTTCCGAGGATCAATCTATAGATTGCAAAGGGGACATAAACGTTCTAAACGACCTTAAGCTCATGCAGATTAATTCATGAAGCATTTGGAAGCATTATTTCCCGGCGCACGGATGTGCCCGCGCGCCCGTCCCACCTCCGGGTGTCAGCTGCGACGACGGGCGCCGCGCAGCCAACGAAGACTGCGACGCCGGGTGTCCGCGGCGGGCCATCTTGCGAACGCGGAAGCCCAAAACGCCCGAGTACTGATGTTCAACGATGGTTAGAAGTAGGAGGGATTTTTCATTGCCTAGAAACGAAAACCATTCGGTCCATATGTTCAATTGCCCTCCTCCGCCATCAAGTCGTTTCACACTGTTTAAAACGATAAAACAAAAATGAAGGCGTTGAGGTGTTTGGGGGCTACATACAGCCTTCCTTTTCCGTACAACTCGGACGGCTCCACTTCACACCCGTGAGCAGGCCAAACTCGCTGATCGCTTTATGGCTGGCAGCAGTGCTGACGCTCCTTGACAACGACAGCAGTGCTGACACTCCTTGACAATGACAGCAGTACTGACACTCACTGACACGACCGAGTATCCGGGCAATGCACGCAGGATCTGTAACAACCATTGGCAAACAACTAAGTCACATACTATGTATGATGTTTATCGGAGCATTTCACGTTGACCCGGACATCATCAATGTTATAAAACACCGGAGCGTACCAGTGCACACAGAGAAGGAATATAAGAAGCAGGTCAGAAAGGTCAAAGGGCGAACTTGATCACACCCATTAGGTTTTCCTCACCTCACTGGAGGGTCACAGTTCAGACCGCGCTCGAAGCCCGTGTGCCAGTGGAAAGTCAACATATTTGGCCGGCAAAACAGCTCCGTGCAACTGCGAAGAGTCTAAAGTCAATGGATGCTGCAACGATTAAGAATCCCCCAGGTGATTACCATACGGTAACATCCGCTAGCAGTGAACGCTGTCCGAGATAAAGCAAGGCGCGAAACCAATGTGGATGGTTCCCGAGCGATCGAGGGTGCCGCGGCAGGTGCGGCAGGTCGGCGAATAGGGCTCCGGTCACCAGCGCTGGGTCCTCAGAACAAGCGAGAGCAACACAAGAGCCAATGTGTTGTGCTGCTGAATGATCGGGAATACCTTGGTAATATATATATATATATATATATATATATATATATATATATGTATACCATATGATACCTCATACCAAGCACTATGAACCATGCATTGATCCATGAATGACTGAATGCATGAACTTTATACTAATTTAGAGGGACCCATGAACATCGCTGGTGTCTCGATAGATTTACTCCCAGGGTCTCAGCAACATTGCATGGCCTTTCGAACAAGTGGATAACCCTCAAAATCAGCACGGAAAGCCCTGGCCGATCAAGAGCGCCGCGCGGATATAAATATAAGGCCCCGGTAGTAGCGTACAGCATTCCGAGAAAAGAAGCAAAGGAGGGACTGAGCGGCCAAGTGCCCGGCAAGTGGACATATGCCCCCTCCCCCGGTCCGTGGACAGCGTCATGAGCCCTAAAACCTGCCTAACCACAGCCATCCCAATTAGCTAAGAATTCCGTTTGTCTGCTCGCAGGCGCCTTGTCTCCGCTTCGGACCGTAAGTGGTCGACTGGAGGCTCGAAAACGGTCATATTTATTTGTTGCGCCTTGTTAAGAATATGCATCTATTTAGTCGGCAATCAGCCCATACAAAGCCCGGGAGTCGACCGTGGCCCCATGGCCAGACAGATGCCTCCTGGGACACGTGTCCCCCATTACCAAATTTATGGCATGCGTTACTATGTACGTGACTTAATACTGACAGTTAGGTAGTCCATGATATGCAGATAAAGATTAGAATATAAAGAACATGCAAAGTACCTTTACGACACCAGACACTCCGTTTGCGTGCGGCACGCTAAACTCGGTTTTCAGTAAATAAAAAGAAGAAAAGTTTGCGCCTCTCATTGTGAAATTTTGCGTGCACCCTTCCCCTTATGGAACTGCCACTGGCGATGAGAAAAGACGGCAAACACGACTGCCAGTCGTCCCCGTTTATTCAAATGCGTTCGCATGCTGCGTGATTGTACGGATGTATTCCTTCACAGGTTAGCATTTCCCAAACACGCTGTGCAAACGACCGCTTCACGCCAGGGATAGTTACAGTCAATGCGAGTTACTATTCCACAGGTGTGTGAGGTGTTTACATCCTGAACCCGTCTTGCGACCCTTGCCCTTAGTACGTTAGAACGCTGGCGCGTGTCACAATCAGGCGGAGGGGGACCGCATGGGGCCGCTATTTTTGGCTCTGCAGCGGCTCATTCGGGCCGGCACCGAAGGGCCGACCACGCCCCGGCCAGCGATGGAATATCGCCCTTGCTGCGTCTGCGACGGCGGCCAGCTCTGGTTTCGGCCGGGCCGGTGCCGGCCGGGCCGGGCCGGGCCGGTACGGGGGCCAGTGGCGCTGGTCGGTGGTCGGCGACGGTCTCGCCGCGCAATGACGGAGACGCGCTGCGCCGTGTGCGAGTGTCCGGCCAAGTCGAGCTGCAGCGGCTGCCATGCCGCCTTCTACTGCGGCAAGCCGCACCAGAAGCAGCACTGGAAGCAGCACAAGGCGGCGTGCGTGCCGTACAAGGTGGCCGAGAACGCCGAGCTCGGCCGCCACCTGGTGGCCATCCGCAACATCCAGCCGGGCGAGGTGATCCTCACCAACCAGCCGCTGGTCGTCGGGCCCAAGCAGTTCTCGGACGCGATGTGTCTGGGCTGCTTCCAGCCGGTGACGGCCGACTCGTACCGCTGCGCGTGCGGCTACCCGATGTGCGGCCAGCGCTGCGCCGCCAGCGACGCGCACAAGCCCGAGTGCGAGGCGACGCGCCGCTCGGGCCGCAAGCTCGAGATCGACGTCAGCGTCAGCCCCAACCCGCTGTACCAGGCGGTGACGCTGCTGCGCTGCCTGGCGCTGCGCGACACCGACGCCTGGCGCCAGCTGGAGCAGCTGCAGTCGCACGACCGCGAGAGGGAGCTGAGCGGCCGCCATGCTGAGATCGACGAGCACGCCATCCAGCTCCTCCAGTACCTCGGCGTCGACGTCGACAAGGAGATGGTCTACTTCGTGTGCGGCGTGCTCGACGTGAACGGCTTCGAGGGCCACCTACACAACGTGATAGGACTGTACCCGCGCGCCGCGCTGCTGGAGCACAACTGCTCGCCCAACACGACGCGCACGTTCAACGACGACCTGACGCTGGTGGTACGCGCCAGCAGCGCAGTGGCGAAGGGCGCGCACATCACCACCAGCTACACGGACCCGCTCTGGGGCACCGACAACCGGCGCTACTTCCTGCGCCAGTCCAAGTTCTTCGACTGCATGTGCCTGCGGTGCGCCGACCGGACCGAGTTCGGCTCGGAGCTGAGCACGCTGCGCTGCCCGCAGTGCGAGGAGGGCCGCGTGCGCTGCTCGGCGCCGCTGGAGCCGGACGCGCCCTGGGCCTGCGACGCCTGCGACCGCACGCTCACCGGCGCCGAGGTCAGCCAGATCGTGCAGTACGTCGGCGAGAAGCTCGTCAACATCGAGAAGGGCAGCGTGGCTGCCGCCGAGGCGTTCATCAAGGCGTTCGCGCCCGTTCTCGCGCCGACGCACTTCTACATGTGCGATGTCAAGGTGGGTGACCTCGTAGCAGGAGCGGGCCAGGGCTCGAGGGCGGTGAGTGGCCTGCTGGCTGATTCCACTACTGTACGAGACGATGCGGATGTGCTACAAGCTGGAATACCGGCCAACTGCCCCACTACGAGGAGGCTCCTGAGTATACTTTCGGTTATGAGTTCAGAATTGTTTTGGACACGGTACTGTGATCTCGGATGGCTGAGGTTAGATCATTCGTAGTCATGTGTAATTTGAAGTCCGACCTCGAGAGCTTGTGATCTATGACCTGTTACTGGTGCGATGTTGGTGAAAATTTGCTTAAAAGTGACAAATGACGTTGGTTTATCGCTGGAAATGCATTCCAAAGCTGTTTAAGACTGTTTTTCCTAACTATATCATTCTGAAGTGCATTGTTACCGTTCAGGGGGCTTTTGTAACGTCAGATCATCTTAAGCCTAGATAGGTCGAACTTAGCCCTTTGTCACTACTTAATATATTTGATCACTGGTAGGTTGTACGATGTCAACCCTGATGTCAAATATTTTATAGCTTTGGAAATGTATTTCTGACTCCCTTTCCTCACTGATGTGGCTTGTTTAATTCTTGATTAAGCCGTTTGTCCTCATGCAGCCAAAGCCTTCATTCCTTCGGCCTGACATGACACATCTTAGGTCACATTTTTCAATGTTCATCCAATAGTTTTTCAACATATTGTTAAATGCCTCCTTCCGCTTGCCATGGTATAGTTAGTCCTTGAGATAACAGAAGTCTAACGAATGCTAATCTGACAATGTGACCTGATTCGATCTCTCAAAGATCAATATGTTTTTGATATTGTGATATCAAATGACATTGTTGTAATGATATGATACAAAACGATATCATTTTTCATCGAGGTCTGCAATTAAGGCCATTTCATTGCAGAACAGATGATTTTCTCGCGGCGCTAGGCCAAAATGTGTAGTGTTTACTGAGCATTCTTGGCCTGACGGGTAGAATTATGTCTCCGATTGCTAACACCTCCGGGAACGTCACGTTTTGTCATAACTTTATCCGTCAGTCGTGCGCATCACGTGACAAACTGCCTGGCAGGCGGGCTGAGCCGCTCTGAGGTTCTGAATCTAGTTCTACTAACGCGCCCCATTTCCAGACGGCGCTGTGCTTGCTGTACGGCAAAGACTCGGAAGACGAAACGACGGTATTGACCAGCGCCGAGGCAGATCGAAAGGAGGAGATTGCCTCTGAGCTGCTGGCCGTCTTGGAAAAGGTCTATCCTGGTAAGATCACGTTGAAGATATTCGCATTGTTTCTGATTGATTGATTGAAACACATTTTTCTATCTGTTGTCATGTTGGCGTTCTCAAACTCTGGCAAATTCCCAGTTACCCAATTCCCGCTAAAAGCCCGCGGATAGGAATGACGCAAAACCCGTTCCGTGGCCGTGCCGGCGGCGCGGAGTTGATGGCGTATCGAGGCCAGCGCGCCGCCCCCCGCCGATCAGCACGTGCCGAGCGGATCTGGCGCCAAGAGGACGTGTCAGCGGGCGGCCGGATCTAAGACCGAACGGAGGCCGACCCGGTCCTGTCCCCGAGGCATGCTGCGGCTCCCTGGGCGGGTCACCTTACGACCTGCCCTCCCTGCCACAGGCCAGAGCAGGCTGCGCGGCATCCTGCTGTACGAGCTGCAGACGGCCATCATGCGGAAGGCGCAGATCGAGGTGGAGAGCGGCTCGCTGAGCGCGCTGGACTGGCGGATGCGCGCGCAGGTTAGTGATGGGTAGCGAGTGATGGCGGCACTAGAATGGGATGCCCGGGGAGGGGAAAGCAACTGAGAAAATGGGGCGATGCAAACCGCTTGAACGTCAGGATTGTCGCCCCCACCAGGGGGCCAGACAAGGCTCTGGGTTGCCACGGGTCTCATTCTTCTCCCACACCCACTTGCGACGCCTCTGGCCATCGGGGTTATTAGGGGTCGCGGGGTCATTGAAGGGGGGGGGGGGCATCCGTTTCAGTAACGAGTTCGGGGCTAATGCTCGATGCAGTCGGATGTCGTGCGGAGCCCTGAGCTGATCCGGCTCAGACCCCACCTCGGACGTGTCCCTTCGTATTCACTAAGCGCTTACGGAGAACTGTTTGTTGCGGTAGCCTATCCTGATTGCTAAGCAGGGAGATGCCATCACGCTTGCTCCGCACGTTTAGCTGGGTAAGAGCTTGCTGCGATTGGGTGCGTGCGTAGGATCCCTTATCTGCGGAGACCTTGCCTTAACCGAAATGGCGATGGCGGCTGACGAATGGTACGGGGTCCAGTGTTGTGATCCAAGCTGCAAGGTGACGCAGAGAGCAAGAAACGATCAAAATACGTCCGCAGCTTTTGCATGACAAGCGACACCCTCGCCGGCGCACTCCACACCACCGCAGCTGTGACGTGTTGTTGCCGTGTCCGCAAAAACGCGGCCAGCCCGGCGACCGCTGACGTGCGGACGGCGCGCCGGGGGCCGACGGCCGGCGCTGCTGAGCGCGGGCCTCCCGTCCGCAGGCGTGCATGGACCGGCTGCACGAGACCGTGGAGGTGCTGCAGCGCGAGCCGGCCTCCAGCAGCGAGCATCACCTGGCGGAGCGCGCCTCCGGCGAGCTGGAGGCGCTCACCAAGGTGCTGGCCGTCACTGGTATGCGGGCTTTCATGGCTGGCGACGCCTGAGGCCGCGGCTGGAGCCGCTCCGTCCAGCATCGGGTGTTGGCAGGACCGGGGGCTGGCGACGCCTGAGGCCGCGCCTGGAGCCACTCCGTCCAGCATCGGGTGTAGGTAGGACAGGGGGCGGCTATGGGGGTGTGTGTGCGCGTGCACACGGTTCGGTGGTCCGTCAAACTTGGCGCGCTGGGGTGGTTTGTAAATGGCTGTTCATGTAAACGCCTGTTGCTGTGTCGGGGCACGGGCGTCATCCGAAACTTGGGACGGCATCGTGCCAGGTGTCAGGCATGCGCAGACTATGTCATCTTCATGGTGGGGATTGGTCATTATACAACGGCACTTACAAGCGTAAGCTTTCTGGTTGGTCAGCCACTATGCTGTTTTGGGACATTTGACGTATGGTTTCAATATTAGTGGACTTTATGCCGTCACTGTCTTGCTCCTCAAAGCAAGATGAGGGCAAAAGTGTTATTCATTTAACAGCGTTTAAACCAACTCGCCTTGTCGATAGAGTTCAAAAGTGTCCAGTGAAATGCTTGTCTGTTTCTCGAACCTAACGGCCGCTGACCCACTTCTGGATTTATTTCACTGCATACAAGAAAACCCTAGCAATCAGGAACCTACATGGCATGCTGTAATACATGGTCGGTTTGATGGAGCATGTTTGGTTTGAAATAGTGGGAAACTCGTATGTAAGAATGTAGGAATTCGTGGGGCGGTAGATACGGTACGCTTTACCTACATTGGAAGGCAACGAGGCGGTCGGATATGACAAATGTTTTCAAAGCTTGGACTCAGCTGCAAAGACCAAACGTCATTATCTGTCGAGGAATTTGTAACGGTCATTATGCCAAGCAGCTAAACGATCGTGCGGAGTGATAACGATTCAGCAGCTGTATGTGCCATTGGGGCTATACGACGCCGTCGGCTGCTGAGGCTTTATGACATCACCTGAGGCTTTATGACATCACATGCCTCTCGCCTCGACAGGAAGAGCCGGCACCGAATGGGGGGAATCGACGGCTTAGCAGTTCTAAGCGGTGTAACATAATCCTGATAATATGAGCATGCTAAGCCTTCCCAAAATACTTTTCTGAGGGAAAGGTTTTACTAATGCAGGGCAACTGTTTGCGACAAGAACTATGTGCATTAGGTTAAGTTTAATCAGAGGTTAACACACGCCTAAAAACATTTAACCCAGTGAGTCTAAGCAAAAACAACTAGTGCGAAACAAGAGAGTACCAAGCAAACCGTCATGCAAGGAAAACACGAGTCGGGTGTAATGGTGGCCTTCCGCGAGATAAGTGAAATCGCAATGGTACACCGTCTTTCGATGTAAAAACTGCGTTAGCTGTTGAACATGTATAACGCATGTATAGCGATGCATCACGAGAGCAAAAGTTCGCGAGCAGTCTCAAAGTAGCATTGCACGGGCGGAAAGCTGTATTCTACGCATTGCACGAGGAAAGCGGACAGTAATTTACATCGTTAGGCACTACCCACTACGGCATGTTGGCACACACTTTTACAGCACACTCTACGCGGCAAGAACACTTCCAATGGCTGGGCTAAATATTTCAACAAATGCAATTTCGCACATATCGAGGGCTCGAAACTCAGCAAAACATGCAGATGTTCCTGATCGCTGTCGCGTCCGAATTCAGCGGAAGTGGTTCAATGCCCCAAACACGTCCATGCGACCGGGCCGAGGGGCAAACAGACACATCGCAGTAATTCGTTAGCAAGGTACATTCGTGTGCCTCTGCGCATGGACGAGCTAAACTTGGAATTTGGCAGACACTGATCACGTGGAAAGCCAGCGACAGCGAACTACCTGCCCACCCTGGCTCATTCAGCGTGCTGTTCGTGTGCCTTTCAGGGGCACCCTTCGGCGTCGTATGCTACAAGTGCAGACCAAGTCACCTGTTGCTGGATTGCCACCTAAATATTAGGAGCGATCTTGCCAACAGTGACCCACCGCGAGCCCATATCTAATGACAAAACAGGGGTTACCAGCGGAGCATATGGAAGCGACCCGTCTCCCATCTAACAGGAATGCGCATGATCCTATGGTTTGGACAGGCAATCGTTGTAAACCGGACGATAAACCCCAATTTAGAGGCCGCAGGTCATGCCAGCTAGACTTAACCAATCATGCACGTCATCTGGCGTGTACGCTGTACCAGGCAAAGAAAGTCTGACCGGCAAAGACACAGGCAGGATACCCTGGTCCGAATCACGATGCTCCTAATCCTCACTCGGGACTTGACCCCGGTAAGTCACAAACCCTCACCATCATTTCGCGAGACCCCCCTCCCCTCAGCGTATCAGCACGCAAGGCTGGCAGTTCTCCGGGTCGACGACGAAGGTGGGAATGCAGGGCGCGCAGGGGCCCTCCGGCTTGACGCGCAGGCTCCGCTGGAAGCCCCGCAGCTGGGAGTCGAGCTCGAGCGCCGGCGGCGCCTCGCCCACCGGCGAGGCAAGGGCGGCGATGGCTAGCAGCACCGACGGACTACCGACGGTGCGGCGCGGCTCAAGCCTGGCGATCCGCATCAGCAGCTCGGCCATCTTGTCGCTGAGGCGTGGCGAGGAGGAGCTCGGGCGGCGCGCGAGCGGCGCCGGCGCCCGGGCGGCGCTGACGGCCGGGCGCTGCGGGGCCGCCGGCCGCGCTGGCGTGGCGCTCGGGCGCGGTGGGGCGGGACGCGCCGTAGTCCGTCGCGGCTTCGGCGTTGTCGGGACTGTTCTCTTGGTTGTGGTGGTGGTAGGTTTTGCTGTTGGCCTCTTCGATGTTGTAGGACGCTGTTGCACCCTCGGCACCGGGCGATTGGTTATTACTCTCGGCCGTGTTGTAGTGCGCAGCGGGCGCTTTGTAGTGCGCAGTGGGCGTTTTGTCGTGCGCAGCGGGCGTTTTGTAGTGCGCAGCGGGCGTTTCGTAGTGCGCAGTGGGCGTTTTGTAGTGGGCAGCGGGGGTTTTGTAGTGCGCGGTGGCCGTGTTGTGGTGCGCAGCGGCCGTTTTGTAGTGCGCAGCGGCCGTTTTGTAGTGCGCAGCGGCCGTTTTGTAGTGCGCAGCGGCCGTGTTGTAGTGCGCAGTGGCCGTCTTGTTGTGGTGGTTTGTGGCTTTCGCGGTGACGCTGGACGAACAGCAGATCGCTTCGTGGTGAGCAGAGGCCGTTTTGTCGTAGAAGCTTGCTGCTTCCATCTGGGAACAAATCGCCTTATTGGTGGGGCTGGTGTTGTAGGTGATGTTGGTCTGCTTGTGGTAGTTCGTTGTTTCCAGCGAGGTAAAGGTCGTTTTGTCGTAGAAACTGTTGGTTTCGCTGTGACTAAAGGCCGTTTTGTTGTTGCTGCTGTTCGTGGCTTCCACCATTCCACATATCGTTTAGTTGTTGGGGCTGATGTCGTTGAAGATCGTAATGGCCGTTTCGTTGCAGGATTTTGTTGCCTCCAACGTGGAAAAGATCGCTTTGTCGTGACGACTGGTCGTCTGGTTGTAGTCGAAGGCTGTTTTGCTGCAGTCGTTCGTTGTTTCCACCGTGGAAAAGATCGCTTGGTCGTGACGGCTGGTCGTCTGGTTGTAGTCGAAGGCTGTTTTGTCGCAGTCGTTCGTTGTTTCCACCGTGGAAAAGACCGCTTGGTCGTGACGACTGGTCGTCTGGTTGTAGTCAGTGGCTGTTTCGTTGCAGCTGTTCGTTGTTTCCACCGTGGAAAAGACCGCTTGGTCGTGACGGCTGGTTGCCTGGTTGTAGTCGAAGGCCGTTTTGTTGCAGGCGTTCTCTGCTTCCACCGTGGCAACGGCCGTTTGGTGGCTGTCTCCTCCGGCTCCTTCGGCGATGCCACCTCCCGCTTCGTCGCAGGCCCATCGCGCTGCGAAGCTCCGCCTGCCGCCGACGCCGGTGCTACCGCCACGGAGTAGTCTCCCGCGCCAGCGCCGTCATTGTCGTGGGCGGTTCCGAATGAAAACCCGTATACCTGTGCTGCTCTCCTTGCTCGGGTGTCTTTGAGTGCTGTCTGCGCGCTCCTCTTCAAACGCCTTGGAAGAACGCGTCTCGAAGGGGCTTTGTGGAGGCCCCGAGACTTCAGGGGCTCATCCACTAGGTTTGATGCCTCCAGGCCTCTCTCGGAGAACGGAAGTAGTTTACCCGGCTTCCAGAAATCTGGAACCAGATGAAGTTGTGTTGCGGAGAACCATCTCGTGATCTTTTGGTGCTTGATTAAAGAGAAGCTCAAAATTTGGGACTCAAAATAGCTGGTTTAAGCAAAGCAGGCATTCCAAACTATCGCAGTACGCGTTTTTATGATGGATTGATGCGCTGTAAAGTTTGTAAAAAGTTTGCGAGATGTTTTTGTGAAGTTATAGCATAAACTTTACCCTCTGACACAAATTGATTGTTTGCATGCATTTTTATCGGCATTCAATAGCTCAACTGCGTGTATCTAAGAAAGAGTTTATTGTGTAAAATGATACTTTTTAAAGCCATTTCTCTTGAGTCAGTGCCTTTAGTTTGCCCTATTTCTAAGCAAATACCAGGCCTGGCAATCAGCCGTGTGGTTCGGTCGAGGGCGTTAAATGCCGAATGCGCCGGTATTGTTCACACCAGTGCTGTGTAAAGCAAGGTAGGCTTTTAGGATCATTCAATTCAAGGATCATTCATCGTGGATCATGCTCAGGCGTGCAAGTTACGTAAGTACCTATGAACAGCGACGCGGCCAGAATACTGCAATCGTTTTGTCACGTTCGCGTCAGACATGTCACCGAATGTTTTTAAAAAGTTTTGAAAGGTTCCGTTAGAAAGTAGTCTGACATCATACCTGTCCATAACAGCATAACCTCGCTTAAAGGCAGCTAACAACTATTTTATCAAGTATACGTCTTAACAACTATGTTTTAGAACTCTGCACAATATTTTAGCGGGAAATCCCTGATAACATTTATGTCGTTAGAAAACAACGCTTAAAACTTTCAAAGCGGTATCATAAGTTTTGCACCGTCATCCTTCGTGAAAACAGCTATTACTTTATTTCAACGTGCGCGGGAGCTCTTATCCTCGCCGCAAACGGCTCTCAGGAGATCACTCCGAAGATTCGTACGTGCAGTTAACTGATCGTGCAGCATCTTCCCGATCTCCTATGTTAAAGAACCTGTGTAACCAGGAGATTCACCACGGGTTAAGGCAACGCGACAGGATAAGGGATTGTTTGGCATACTCCGAAATGAAGTAAGTTGTTCAGTGCATTAGCGTGGAACATTATTCACATAGACAAAACAGTAGCATTAGCCTTATTCCTCGGAAAAAAAACAGTAGAATGGAAATATAGTTGGGTTGATATTTGGCAACATGTCTTCATCGAAACAATAGCAGAAGTGAATTCCAAACTCCAAACTTCTCAAAATGTTTAGGAGGGTGAAACTATCCAGGCGTCATCGAGCGGCTCAGTCACGTCAGTGCCAATGCCTATGAACCTGCTCCAACACAGCTGTTACGGTGCGCCTGCGACCAGCCGCGCTCGCCGTCAGGCAGCGGCCGGCCCACCTGCGTGGCCGGCAGGATTTCCATCGGCTCTGCCTCGGCCTAATCCGCTCTGTGAAGATGTGTGCGCCCAACCCCCGTGCACGCCACCGGAAGCTGGCCGCGCGGCCTCACTCCACCCGGGCGGGCTGAGCCCAGGCGGCCGCCCGGCGACTCTCACCGGGTCGGAGGTCACGCGGAGGCTGCGCACCGCAGTGGACGCTCCCCTGCGGCGCGCATCGAGCGTCGGTCATGTCGAACGCGGTGCCGACCGGACAGCGGAAGCTGGTGTGGGTCGCGCCGGCGCTGCACAGGTGATACACCTGGTCGACAGAGAACAGGTGGTGAGCGACGATCCTGCCGGTCCCTCGCGAAGACACGAGACGGGCATCAGCAGTGGAGGTCACCGAGGTCACCGGCGGGGTTCGTGAGGCGGCTGGAGGGTCGCCGACCCTCTTGCATGATCGCCACGCTAAGCCCGTGTGCGCGGACAGCGGGCGCGGTGAGAGTGAGGTGGGGGGGGGGGGGGGGGAGGCGGGGGCGGTGCCCTGATCGCCACGGATTGGGTCGCGTGCGGACGGCTCACCTGGCAGCCCGTCCCGACGTCGGCGTAGTGGCCAGGTGGACGACCCTCGCAGGGGGACGGCGTTCCCACCGACAGCACCGGCTCAGCGCCCGCCTGCGGACGCGGATGGGCGTCAGCTCCGGCGCCGGTCAGGGCCCGCCACCGGGCCGGTCCGCAGCCCGGACGACAGCCGGCCCCGGCGCCGTTCGCCGCCTGCCGGCACGGAGCGCTCCACTTCACGCAGCGTGCCGTCAGGCTGGCAGGAACGGGCTGAACGCACGCTCTCACCGACGTTGTGAAGATCCGGTCGTTCTTAGTGTGACTGTGCAAAATTGCAATATCAGGACAGTGAGCGTGCGATAATTTATCAATGCGCACGTCCGGCACGTTACATGCGTCACATGCCGTCGCTAACACCGCCACCCGGCACGCCGTTTGTCGCGATGATGTCCGTGCAGCACTCACGCAGTCACCTCGATTTCGCTGGCGTGCCAGTGCAGTGCATGTCTGTGGCGCGGTCCGGTGCATGTGTCCGGCAGATTGAACACATGGCGTTCGACGCGTCTGTTTCTAGTAAAAAATGGCGTATGGTGCGATTCAGGCCACGCAAATTATGCACACGCCACCGATGGCAGAAAATGAGAGCGTTGCAGGTGCACCGGCGTGCGAGAAACTAGCTGTCTTTGCAACGGCGTAAGTAGCGCCTGCGAGCTGCGCTGCGGTCGCCGCGCTCGTTTGCTGCGCCGATTTCGCCGGCGCTCGCAGTCACACGGCTGCAGAGACGGGTTTCTACTCGCGTCTGCCGCTGAGCGTCACTCAGCGCTCGATACTGGGGGCGCCGCGGAGGGTCAGCACCGACGCGTGGCTGGGGGCGCAGCGGAGGCTCAGCATCGACGTGTGGCTGGGGGCGCCGCAGGGGGTCAGCATCGGCGCGCGGCTGGGAGGCGACTGTGACGTCCCGTGACCGGGTCAGGGCGCGCAGCGCACGCCGGGCGGTGGCGTTACCTGCACGTGCGCCGGTGGCGAAGCTGACGCTGCTACGGCGGCCAGAGCCAGCAGCGGGATTGTCCTCCAGGCGGCCATGGCAGGGCCCGGTGAGGAGTACCAGACTCTGGTGCGGCCTGCAACGAGGCGGGACGTGAGCACTGGCACGAGCCGCGGAGCGTGCCGGCCCTGACCTCGCGCTGGCCGCGAAAACTGCTGGGATTCAGGGCCGGGAGGCGCTCACGGCATCATGTCGGATTATTTCGGCCTTTTTGTGTGTCGTGCTTGTGCACCTGAGATCCGCGCCTTGAAATGCCGTGCTTGGCACGGTCATCAGACAAAGCCCATTAACGAACAGTGATCGGTAGCAAGCAGACGTTGGCAGCAAATCCGTGTGGGCGGTTAGATCCCGTTGTACGTACAGCTGCTGGTAGGCGTAGTGGCTACCCTCTCCAGTATGATATAGCTGGGGTGCCATAAGTCACCAAGTCACACATAGTTATGATAATGCACCGACTCAGGCCTTTTACGACCTTGGCCCAGCCTTATGCGTGATGCGCATTTTCAACTTTCCTCAAATTAACGCGTTCGTGATTTAACGTTCGTGATTTAGCAGTCCGCACGACTCTCGTGACAGTTTGCGACGCTCGGCATTGAACAATTTTCATCTCTCCTTCTTCGTCTTCTTCTTATCAACCTTTGTTCTCACACAGAAATTAAGGCGACTGCATGTCGTTAATGATGGTTTGTACTTTGGTTTTAAAGTATGCAACTTTTTTACTTGCATTGATGCCGGACAACAGCGCAGGTGTCAGAATGCTTACGATATTTTAGCAGAAAGTATGCGAGAGGTGCTTGTTGCAAATGTACCATTTTGGTACTGATGTTTACCAAAACACACAATAGTAACATCATTATTACGCGCCAGGGTGGGGTTAATTTGGCCGCACCCTCCGCGAAGGTTTGCACAGAATAGTTTCCAAAAGGCGCGACGTAGCCGCGTTAATCCTGGCATAGCTGTGTGCCACTGAATAGGTGATCTTTTATGAAATAAGATGTGCCTTGTAGGGCTGCTGACCTACGGTAGGGCAACGTCAGACCTTGGCTGTCAGCGAAGGCAATTTCAATGGAATCGTTCAATCTGATTCGACAGCAGAATGTTCTATAAGCCCATCCATCTCTAAGATAGTTTCTCAGGCAATGAAACAATTGAAATTAGGATTACAACAAATTTTGTTGGTGAGCGGTCAGATATGAAGGGCGGACTGAGGTTTGCACCAGATATGGAGGGCAGACTGAGGTTTGCACCAGATATGAAGGGCGAACTGAGGTTTGCACCAGATATGAAGGGCGGACTGAGGTTTGCACCAGATATGGAGGGCGGACTGAGGTTTGCGCCAGATATGAAGGGCGGACTGAGGTTTGTACGAGCCCGCTTACTCAAGAACACGCAA